TGTTAACCAATGTCATAAAACAATATGTGTACTGACTGTTTAATGAGAAACTATTTGTTCTGTAAACCTTCACCTAAAGTACAATAAAAAAATTAAAAATAAAAAAAAGAGCTTTATCTTCAGTCTCACTAATTCTGACTTCCATTGCCTTAGGTCTACTCCTATGACTTTCTATTGAGTTTTCTAATTCTGAAATTTTATTGTTAATCTTCTAGATTTCTGTTTTCTGTCTCTCTACAGATTCTTGTAGTCTGTTAAATTTGTCATTATGCTTTTCTATAATCTTCTTAAGTTCCCATATTGCTTTGTCTGTGTGTTCCTTGGCTTGGCCTGCGTTTTGCCTGATCTCTTGAAGAGTTCTGTATATTAATCTTTTGTATTCTACCTCTGGTAATGCCAAGAAGTTCTCTTCCTCTGTAATATTTCTTCATCCTTTGTTTTGTGAGCTTGCTGAAGCCATCACGGTCTGCCTCTTTATGTGATTTGATATTGACTATTGTCTCCAAGCCATCAATAAGTTGTTATATTTATTTATTATTTTATGTTTGCTTACTATGTCCTAACTTCTTGTTTTGTTTTGATATGCCCAAATAGGCTGCTCATGTGAGCTAGTTTGATTATTGGTGCCTTCGAAGGTCTAACATCCTGTCACCAGGTGGTTAGATATGTAAGCCCAGGATTCCATTTACTTTTCTTGTATGGATTCAGCTCAGATGTCCGGGTGGTCAGTCACCAAGTGTGTGGTGTATGCTGTCACCTACAGTCCTAGATGGGCAGGAGTTATTGGAGCAAGCACAGGTATCTGGCTGCAGTAGAGAGTCACGGGCTGAGCAAGGCAGGGGGCTGATGGCTGCCCCTGAGTGTCTGAGAGGAAAGTGTGTCCCTGTTCCCTAGAGTGTGTAGGTGAGTTGGTTTTGCAGCCAGACTATGAGTACCCAATGCTGTTGGCTATGAGGACTGGGAGGCACCACTTATTCTTGGACCCCTGTCGCAGGTGGCTATGTGGTGTGGGTGGAGCCACCAGTCCTTAGGCCCCTGATGTAGGTAGGTGAGGACCCTGCTTAATGGGCAGAGCAGAGTCAAATGTCACAAACCTGCCACTCCACCATATAGCTGATACAGTTGAAGTTAGGCTTCAAGTATATACCCTGTTGTATTGTGCTAATGAGGGCCTACACTGTTGAAATGGGCCCACACAGGTCTATGCAGGGGTGAAAGACATTCAAAGTCCATGAACCCCTTATGCCTGTGCCTAGGCAAAGGAGCTGTGCCTGCCCTAAGTTCCCAGCTTAGGGGAGCTGGCAGATTATTTTTTCCCTATTTGTTAATTTGTTCCCTCTCCAAGGCCAGAAGAATGGCTCAGGGCACTTGACGAGTCTTACTTCTGGCCCAGGGGATGCAGCAATCACTGAAGCCAGCCTGGGACCCAGCACAGAGTGGGGAGGAGGTGGTAAATGGGAGAGAGGTTCTTCCCGAATAAGGTGTTTTTTGATCCACAAGGTAGGTTAGACACACGTACTTATCTTTTGCCGATTAAGCGTCACTTTTCACTGGTTCTGGAGGCTTGAGTAGACTCTCCGCTGCTTGGTCCCTCCTGATGTGGAAAACACATCCTGAGTGCCACTGCTTGCCTCACCTCGCAAGCCATCCAAACTGGCCTGCAGGGTGCTGGTTCCCTCCAGGTCAGGTCTGGCAAACTCCTCGCTGCTTCTGAATAGTCTCTCCCTCCCCCTGCCACTCAGTCCAACTCCTCAACTTTGCCTTTGATGTTCAGGGCTCCTAGATTGTCATATATAATCAATTCACTTGTTTTTTGGGGTCTTTGTTGTAAGAGAGACCACAGGAAGCATTTGACTACTCCGCCATCTTGGCCCCACCTCTCTTGTGTGTTGTTTTAAGTCACAGAAAACTTGAAGTTACCTGTACCACGATACAACCAAGGTTTCCTGACTGATACAGGCTCACAGCATATGAATGACTTACCCAAGATGACACAGCTAGAAAATGTCAAAAATAACGTTAATGTCCTTCTCCTCAGAAGTATCCTCATAAGGGCTAAGGTCACTGTTCCCTCCATTAGGCCCCCGCTGCCTTCACAAGTTCATTGCCTCAAAAGTGAAATAATATTTTTCCTGCAGGTAAAATACAAACCAAGGTACAAGCTGTCTAATCTGGGTTCAATATCCTACATACTCATGTAATAAAGGAAATTTTAAATTTTTACTTTTTTCATAACTAGGCCAAGCAGCCTGTACTTAATCTCTTCTTCTATATGAAGTTTAGAATTCTAAGTAATCATCCTCATCTGTGGGGCAGGCAGAAAACTGCTTCTCACTCACCTGAAATAATCAAATTGGTCAGATAGGAAGTAACATTTAAGTGACAAGAACTGTAGCAACACCTCCCAGGGCGTGACATTGTGCTTTGAGATTCTTTCAGGGCCAACACTGACTCTGGATGACCTCATTGGAAAGGTGGAGAAGCCAAATCTTGGCATATAAGCAAGATCTATCTCCTAGGACCTGGCTGGTGCAGCTCTGGTGACAGTCTGAGCAGACTCTGCACCACAGTCATCTCCACCATGAAGATCATTTGGGGTCTCCTTCTGCTCTGTACAGTGGCCCATTTCTGCAGCAGTGCAGGTAAGTCAAGGATCGCTAGAGAAGCATACTTCAGCCTGTTTTTCCAAATATTTCCTCATGCGACTTGAGCATCTGTGCAGTTATGTAGATTAAAATTACTGTTTTGTAATAGAAACTGCTCTGGCCTGGAAAGGGAGAATCTTTGGCCCCAGCTGTAATTTGGGGGACTTGGGGTGTCTTCCCCTTTAAATTCTGATTTCCATACATGGGAAGACAAATAACTCTGTAATTTCTCCTTTCTACCACTGCATAATGACACTGGAGGTGGATGGTGTTATTAGATACTATTCTTCAGCGCAAAGATACAGAAAAACTTGTGTATCTCCCCAAGTCAGTCCAACCAAAAAAAACCAAACCCATTGCCACTGAGTCAAATCTGACTCATAGCAATCCTATAGGTCAGAGTAGAACTTCCCCATAGAGTTTCCAAGGAGCACCTGGTGGATTCGAACTGCTGACCTTTTGGTTAACAGCCGTAGCTATTGACCACTACACCACCAGGGTTTCCCAGGTCAGTCCAGGAGAATCAAAATAAAACACAATTTGCCAAAGGCCAAGAGTCAACAATTACAGTTTTAGACGGCGAAGAAATTACTTAGGTAAAATGAGACCTTAAAGACATTTAATTACATTCCTTTATCTCAGTTAGGACAGAGAAAATACCTAATATGGCGTTTCAGACTCTTAGGAGTGGTGACTGCAACACTGCCTAATGCTACTTGAGTTTGAACCAGTTTCAAAGACATAAGAAGCTCCAGAAAATGGCCCTTGGTCACTAAAGGGAGGAAATTGGGGCAATTCGCTTGCCTGAGTCAAGGGCTTACCTGACTGTATGGTCCACTGGTCACTTGGTTTCCTCAGCCAGTAGCTGAGGTTTGTATAACGACGGGAACTGTGCTGAGACTCAGTGCCTCAGAAAATGGAGAATCTTACATCTATAGGACCAAACTTTTAAGGCTTTGCTTTATTTTGATCATTTCCATGTGCATTTCTCTTCTAGAAACTGGCGGTCTATCTAAAACAGCGGTGAGTATGTTGAATAACATTTTAATTTTAATTCCTATTGACTGTCATTTATCCAACAAATACTTATGAAGGATATATGTAAGATTAATTCAAAGTGTTTTGAGGGATAATAAGGGAGTCTGACACATGAAGAAATGGCCTCTGCTTTCCAGAAGGCAGTTAAAAAAGTATGACATACATATAAATATCCATATCTTAAATAATTATTCCAGTGTTAAAGGAAAGAGAGATGACTTCGAGCTGAGAGGTTGGTGAAGTCTTCATGAAAGTGACAACATGTGAGAGCAGAGCAAAGTTACCCTGGTTAATTGCACAGGTTCTGGATTCAACTCTCAACTCTACTACTTACCAGCATCATTTGCCTAATACAAGTTAACCGTCTTCCTAAGCCTAAAATTCCCCATCTGTAAATAGGAATAATAATAGAGCCTACTCTATTCAGTTGTTGTGAAGATTAAAAAAAAAAAAAAAAAAAATCCATGGCACAGAAAATCCTAACAGAAAAATGCTCATCAATTGTTAACTGACTATAGTAGTGGTACTAGCATTTGACATAGTAGTAATAGTAGTACAAATAGGAGTAGTAGCAGTAGCATCAGAATATCTGAGCTGGGACTTCCAGGATGGCATTCTTGCTGCCTGTGCAGTAGAGGCCAGGATGGCCTAACTTGGGGGCTGAGAGAACAGCAGGACTTTTTCTCGTTTCTGTCACAGGTGGACTGCAGCATTTATAAGAAGTACCCAGTGGTGGCCATCCCCTGCCCTATCACCTACCTGCCTGTTTGTGGTTCTGATTACATCACCTATGGGAATGAATGCCACCTGTGTACCAAGAGCTTGTGAGTACTTCACATGAAGCAAAGGAAGCTGGGTCCGGTGTTCTCCACTGAAAACCCCTCCTCTTTCCTGGAGCCTTCATAATTTTCCATAAACTGTACTCATTCCCACCCAGAAGCAGCTGGTGGGGGTAGAAAACTGAATGCCTCACAGATCAGGGTTGGATCCAAGCTGCTCTGCCAGCTTGGATGGGTCCCATCCCATCATAGAACCTCCAAGTGCCATCTGTCAGTTAAAAGAATCCAACAAGAACATGAGCTTGTTGTTCAAACTACTGTCCCTGGAGCCCAGAGGTTCTGTAAAGACATATCAGGAGTCACCAAACGGGTCCAGGGAGACTACATGGGGTGATCTCCAGCCTCAACTTCAGCTTTGGGCTGTTTTAAATAGTGGAGTGCCACACAATGTCTTGTTTGAAGGAGGGTCCTGAACACTTACCCAAAAAAAAAAAAAAATCAAAACCACTACCCTACATGACTTCTATCATACTTAGCCTCAGTATAGCTTGATTCTTAGACAAACTGTGACCGCCAGTCCTTTATTCTCAGTTTCTTGGAGATTCTAAGCATCTATAGCTCTATAGCTAGCACAAAGATATATTTTTTTCATTCATTTAAAATAGGGGATGCAAACTGTCAGTCCTTGGACCAGAACCCATGGACATGTTTTGTTTGGGTATTTTGTTTGGCCTGCACAGTGTTTGTGAAGGCGATGTAACTAGGCAGATGCCACTTCTTTTTTCAGGACCTGTAACTTAGCACTTACTGTCTTACACCAAGTCCACTTCATTCATTGTTAACTCTCTGATCCTTTTAGGTCATTAAATTTTGGCCACTTGTCTTAGTTTTTTTTTGTTTGTTTGTTTTTGTTTTCTATCTTTGTGATTTTCTGAACAAGTTAGAATATCAGGTTAGGCTCTGATCCCAGAAGGAAATGACTACACATTTGTTCCCTGTTCAGGGAGTTTTATTTCACAAAAAGGAAGATTTTCTAACACAGTCACAGGCTGGATCCCTGGCGTAGAAACTAACTTGTGTTCAAGGGACACTAAAAGTGAGATGTGGTCGAAAATCCACCTTAGTAATCCAGAATCCAGTCGCATCCTAGGCCCTGCTGACCAGAAGAAGCTAAGAGGCTGGCCAACTCAATATTCCTTGTCAAAGGCCTGCATGCTTTGCGGTTTTAAGATATTGAGTGTTCAGCCTGGGTTCTGGGATCAGTGAAGGCAGCAGGGTGGGGTGAAAAATCACTGGGCAAGAGGTATTCTGCTCCTGCTTCTGTCAGAGACTCCTTGTGGCAAGGGCCTCTCTTTTATGGGACTCTGAAAAATGAGGCTGTACCTCATGATCTCTATATTTCCTTTCAGCTCTAATATTATTTATAATTTCCTCGTGCATTAATGAATCTTGTTATCTGTGTCTTCCCTTAGGAAAAGTAATGGAAAAATTCAGTTTCTTCATGAAGGAAAATGCTAACTTTTCCATGTAAATGGGTACAGAGTGATTACATCCTCATCGTCACCTTCATCATCCTCAGGCTCTGACCCCCTTTACCCCTATCTTGGCTGATGTCTACGTGATGCTCAGAACCAGATTCAAAGTCATCATTGTTCAGTGGAGAAAGTTGTTTTGTCCTCCCCTTCCCCACTTCAAACTCATGTCTCACTATTTGACTGGCTTTAACTCAATAAAAGAATCTCCTCAGAGAGTTTGTTTTTACTTGTGTTGATATTTGTTCCTTAGATCAGGATATAATATCTCAGTTTAAAAAATAATATTAATGAACATACAAAGCTCGTTCTTCAGAGAAAATTTTGTACAAATAATCTCAAATGGCTTCCAAGAAACACACACACACACACACAAATATCAGTGAACACTTCACTTCCTCCTGAAGTCTTTATTTTTATTAATCAGCACTCACCACTGAGACTAGTGTACGGGACAACCTAGTTCCTTATATTGGTCTCTTTCCTGAAATTCCTTAAAAGGGAACCTCTTTCATTCCAACAAATATCCCTAGGAGGGAGGTTTTCCTGTCTATTTCTTTCCATAACATCCCATAATTTTTCTTGTCTCATCCCTTGTTGTCCTCTTGCTATAGCCTTAACAGAACGTTTCTGTCATTGACTACTACATTGATTGAGGCAGGTTGCTGAGATTCTAATATTAGCCTTCTATACCTGAAAAATGTAGACACCATTGCTTACTGCTTAGGGATCAAGAAAACATTGACAATATTAGTAAATAGTAAAATGTTTTTATACATTTTTGTTTTAAATATAAAGAGAAATGGAGAATTCATGCTTAGTGATGGAGCTAGAGTTCCTTCTGTGACAACAACAGCCTAGATTAGCTTCTACTGATGGGTCCTGGTGGCTCACAAGAAATTTGTAAACTGGATTGGGCCTTTGTTTACCTTCATGGCCCTCATTTTCTTCTCCCCATATTAACTCCTTCTCTCACGTGCTCCAGTCTTGGCCTAGATATTAACAAAGGATGGTCCAGCCCACCTAAAGGACTGCCCTGAAAATATAAGGTTGATGTTGTTGTTAGGTGCTGTTGAGTCAATTTTGACTCACAGTGACCCCATGTGACAGAGTCGCCAGGTCTTTCTCCCATGGAGTTGTTGGGTGGGTTCAAACCACCAACCTTTTGGTTAGCAGCTGACTGCTTAACCATTGCACTACCAGGGCTCCTGAAAACACAAGGAGGCCCATGGAAATCTGACCTTCACACATACTCAAGGAGAAAGAGGGAGTCTATGGCTGTAGTTACTGCCTCTCCCCTTCTCCACAAAAGAAAAGAAATTCACAGACAGTTGTAGCATGCTTCTGTTGCTAGAGTTCTATATAAATCACATAGCTACAGATTCTGTATTCATGATGACACATCTAACACAGTCAACATAATGTCAGGGACAAATGTGTGTCTGAATTAGAGTTAAGTTTAAGCTCCAGATCATGTCAAGGTCAAGTTCAAAGCCAAGGTCAAGTCCGGTCATAGTCAAACCAGCTATGAAAATTATGGAGATCAGAATAAGGAAGCATCTGAGGCAAAAAGAGCAGCTGAAGAGAAGGTAGCCGAAAAAGGAGAAGTTGTGATCTGGGAATTGAAGGAGGTGCTCAAAGGGATTAGCAAATGGAAATAGCAAGAGGAATAAAGGAGAGAAGAAACAGCAGTGAGAAAAACATTAAAAGTAAGTTAATAATTAAAAAGATTCAGGCCAATAAAATGGGACAGAAGAACAATAACTCTCCCAGAAGTTAACAATTAAGGGATAAAGAAGAGGAACCAGAGAGGGTGGACTCAACAAGAGGAGCAACATAAGGGGTAGTTTACACATCAGGGTAGCTGAGCAACCTGAATAACTCAGGAGTGCGAGCAGTTTAGTCATGAGGAGTAAGACTGCAGCTACAGATGGGATGTGTGAGGAGGCTAATAAAACATTCTTCATCGTGTGAAATCTCAGAATCCCATTATTCTGTTCCCAACTATGAGAAGATAACAAATCCCCACTTTTCACCTATCAGTCTGCTCTGACACCAGCTGCCCACACAGCCACCTGGAGCTAAGTCAGATCTCACAAGTTAAAAAGACATTGTCCTTCAGACTGCCAGATAGGCACATGCCAGCCACAAGTTCAAAAGTACACACGACACTCTTACTTCTACCTGCTGGTTGCAAATTTAGAAGTTTTCCCACTACCCCTTCAGGATGCCAGCCACAAGCCTGGGAGTCCACACAACACACTTGCTTCACCTGCTAGCTCCCACTACTCCTTTGGGGCAAGGTCCGGGAGGGTTTCCAACATTTCCATGTCCCAAAGGGGTGCGCTACCCTCCTACATGTGTCAATGTCTTTCACCAACCAGGAAACTTTCAGAACTTCTGTGTCCAGAACTTTTATTAACTTCATTGCACAGTCATGATTGAGGCCTTATTGCATAGTCATGATTGGGGCCTCAATGAATATGCATGATTAATTAAATCATGGCCTTTCTGAGGTCAGCTGACCAGGTAGTCTTTGTATTTCAAAGAGGAGCATTGGAAGATTCTGATGTCATTCATCATTCCAACCTGGCAACCAGGCCAATTTAAAGGAACACATGTTCAGCAACCAGAGTGATGGCTGTATTTTCCTGGAGATCAGGGTAGACCAAATCACAAGCCACTATACTCTAACCATCATCTAATACTATCCTCCATATCTCAGTCGTATTTTTTTTAACACTTTCCTTCACGAGATGCCAAATTCTCTCCACTTTAAACCTGAAAAAGGAGCAGGAGCTTCCTGAAACCTGTTCATACCAACTCACAGAAATCAACTGTGCACATTGCTTTCCCAATCCATGTTCACTGACTTCATTTCAGTAGTTTAAAATGGCCATGTTGGGAGACTATGGCAAATCAGCAAACACTACAAATCAAGATCTCTTTTTTCAGAGTTGAATGGGGCCCCAGAGAACTTCTAAAACATCTTTGACATTCTTCACAATTTTCCTATGGGCCCAGGTCTATGACAACGATGACAGAAAACTCACTGTTCCATGAGGAAGCATGTCCATTGCTGTAGAGTTCTGATTGTTGGGATGGATGTTTTGCATGTCTGGAATTGAGATCTACATTCACAAGAATTTCAACCATCAGGGCCTGTAAGACCATAAAACAAAGAAGAAGTTCACCCTCTTTCCCAATTAACAGGTTCTCAAATATCACAAAATAAATATTCTGTCCCCATTAGAACTACCTTTGTCCAGGATAAAAATCTCCAGTTAATTCAACCATTTTTCAAATCTTATTTTCCTCATTTACTTCTATCCTGGTCCATCTTTTCTGGACCTGTTATATAATTAGTCATTGTCCATCTTAAAATATGTTGGTATGATGTTCAAAATGGACTAATTACCCCATTTTGGCCTGATAGATATAGGGAAATAAAAACTATCACCTCTCTGCTAATCCATTTCTTCTACTAATGCAGCCTAATATACAAAGGACCATAATTATACTTTTGTTGTTGGTAGGTGCCATCAAGTCATTTCCAATTCATAGTGACCCTATGTACAAAAGAAAGAAACACTGCCTGATCCTACGCCACGCTCACAATCGTTGCTATGTTTGAGCCCATGGTTGTAGCCACTGTGCCAATCTATTTCATTGATGGTCTTCCTCTTTTTCTCTAAGTCTCTAATTTACCAAACATGATGTCATTCTCCAGGGACTGGTCCCTCCTGATAACATGTCTAAAGTATGTGAGAGGAAGTCTCACAATCCTCCCTTCTAAGGAGCATCCTGGTGTACTTCTTCCAAGACACACTTGTTCATTCTTCTTGCAGTTCATGTAATATTCAATATTCTTCCCCAACACTATAATTCAAATGCATTAATTCTTTTTCAGTTTTCCTTATTCACTGTCCAGCTTTCACATGCATATAAGGTTATTGAAAATACTACGGCTTGGATCAGACGCACCCTAGTCCTCAAAGTGACATCTTTGTTTTTTAACACCTTAAAGAGGTCTTTTGCAGGAGATTTGCCCAATACTATACGTCATTAGATTTCTTGACTGCTGCTTTCATGGGCATTGATTACGGATCTAAGTAAAATGAAATCCTGGACAATTTCAATCTTTTCTCCATTTATCATGATGTTGCTTATTGGTCCAGTAGTGAAGATTTTTGTTTTCTTTATGTTAAGGTATACTCCACACTGAAAGCTGTGGTCTTTGATCTTCATCAGTAAGTCCTTCAATTCCTCTTCACTTTCAGCAAGCAAGGCTGTGTCATCTGCATATCGCAGGTTATTGATGAGTCTTCCTGCAATTCTGATGTCACATTCTTCTTCATATAATCCAGCTTCTCGGATTATTTGCTCAGCATACAGATTGAATAAGTACGGTGAAAGGATACAACCTGACTCATGCCTTCCCTGATTAAACTATACAGTATCTCCTTGTGCTGTTCACACAGTTGCCTCTTGGTCTAAGTACAGGTTCTGCATCAACACAATTAAGTCTGCCAGAATTCCCATTCTTTGCAATGTTACTCATTATTTGTTATGATCCACACAGTCGGATGCCTTTGCACAGTCAGTAAAACACAGGTAAACATATTTCTGGTATTCTCTGCTTTCAGTCAAGATCCATCTGACATTAGCAAGAATATGCCTCATTCCACATCCTCTTCTGAATCCACCTTGAATTTCTGGAAGTTTCCTGTTAATGTACTGCTGCAACCATTTTTGAATTATCTTCAGCATAATTACTTGCATGTGATATTAATGATATTGTTTAATAATTTCAGCATTCTGTTGGACCATCTTTCTTTGGAATAGATACATATATGGATCTTTCCCAGTTGGTTGGCCAGGTAGCTGTCTTCCAGATTTCTTGGCATAGAGTTGTGTATGCTTCCAGCATTGCTGAAACGTCTCAACTGGTATTCGTCAATTTCTGGAGCCTTGTTTTTCGTCAAA